TCCGCGGTCCTCTACGCACGAAGGTGTCGTCTGCGAAATAAAACGAGTGTTTGCATGTGGGAGGCAACTGGAGCACCGAGGTTTACGGACATGCCTTCACCCAGCAGTGGATAGATCATGGCTGCAGCTGTTGATGATAATATTGATTGTGGTGGAGATAGAGGTGGTTGGGGTTGGGGCGGGCGAGCGGGCGGGTGCATGAAGTTCAAGCTCAAGTTGTACGTGCCGAAGCTCTGAGAAGCGCACACCGGTTTGCCCAGTATGTGAACCGGTGTGCGGAGAGAGAGAGAGAGATCGAGAGAGAGAGAGAGCACCAGCGATACGGATCTAAGCTGTCCGGCCGTGTGTGACGGCGCGGGTCTCTGTGACGTGCGCGCAGAACGCGGGCGACTGGGTGCCTACGTGTCTACGTGTTGCAGCTCAGCTCGGCAGTGCGGTCGCGAACCGAGCGCAGGAACATTCCACACGGGTGAAAAGACAAATGCAAAGATCCCCCGTGTAGCCTTGACCGGGCTGTTGGGCAAGTGCACGGCACACGAGGGGGGGGTGGTTGGAGTGGCCAGCACAACGGCGGGCCGCCTTTTTCTCCCTAGCGGCGATATTTACACATCGCACCCGGTGCTCGTTTGAGGCCGAGTCGACCTAGGCGAGTCCCAGGGCCCTGTTCGGATATTCGTCACTGGTGTTGGCCGTGAGCGGGAATCGAACTCGGGTCGCCGTGTTCGCAGCGCAGCGCTAACCGCCACACTACCGCTACCCATACAGGTGCGCACACACACCCTTACGCGACACTAACATGCACCTTTGGGGCAAGTGCTGTTAGCGAACACCTCTGAAGGCCAACGCAGCACACGAGGAGGTGGGTGACCAGCACCACGCCCGGCTGCCTTTTTTTCTCCACAGCGCTAATGTTTACACACGGCACCATGGACTCATTTAAGGCTGAGACAGCCTAAAGGAGGCCCTGGATCGATACAGATACTAGCTAACGATATTAACCGATGCTCGGAATAGAACTCCGGTAGCCGAGTTTGTAGCACAGTGCGCAAACCACAGTGCCACCGCTCCCCGCATGCACCCTTACACAATGCCACACAAACGGAGAAGCACGTGAAGACGCACTCACAGATACACACGCAAACCTCACACGCTTACACACACACACTGAACGCAACGTGGGTGGTAAGATTTTTACCAAACCCACCTCAACCCGAGCCGACCCCTTCCCGTTCACAGCTGAAGCAAGGACATCGACACAGACTTGTCTCCCATCAGCGAAAATCACACAGCACACCTGGGACACACAGCGTAGAGTCGATTGCTAACCCTCTTTCGCCTTCTCTTCATCCTTTTCCACCTCCTCACCGTTGCTCATGGACAAACATAACGGATGCATCATCATTTCACCCTAGGGGTATCTCCAGAAGAGCAGCAGTTTGATTTATAATAACCGATTTTGCCAGGGTAACCATAGTGTTTAACGCGTGGGCTTTTGCAGTCTCGGTGGCAGTATGTTAACTACTTCGCCTGGTATACAGGAGGTCGGGGGGGTGTGATCCCGACCTTGACGCCTGTATATTTGGAGTTTACATGTCTGTCTCCCCGTGGTCGCGTGGATTTATTTTCCGGTTCTCCGGTTGTTCCCGTCCACATTCAGTAACTTGCTATATATTCCCACATCATAAGCTACTTTATTGGGCTATCATTTGTGGCCAGGTCGCTTCTGAATAAAGGCCTATATAGCTCAGTGGGCCTTACCTGGTAAAATACTGAGAAAAAGTGTTTAGTTTATAATTTATTGTTTTGGGTTAGGCCACTTAATGAGCTTGCCAAGTTTGTGTCGTTAAAACCCTCCACCACCCGACATAGCCAATTGTATTTGTTTGCCTGCGTCGGGTGGTGGAGGGCCTTAACAAACACCTTCTTACGAATATTTTTGTCTAAGTAAATACTTTACTCCTTAGCGCTGTCACCATGAGCACGAATGCGTTCGCTCAGTCCGTCTGTCTGTAGCAAAGTCGGGGGGCCGGGGGTGGGGAGACGATTGTTCTTGTAATGATGATGATCCCAAATGTGAACAAATCTCACTCCAAGTTGCGTTGCTATTACGGTCTCACCCCATAGGGCAGGGGTGGGGAACGTCCGGCCAGCAGGCCGAATAAGGCCTGCGAAATCATTTGGTCTGGCCCTGCCAAGGCAACCGCAGGCAGGACTGGGAATTCAATAAATCTAGGAGCAAACCTAAAAAAACAGTTGCGAGTAGCAACATCATCAATACCAGCTAACATCACACGCCTCACTAATAGAGAATCAGTTCCAGCCATCAGATTAGGGGTGAGTTAATTAAATGTATGAGCAAATATAACAGGCAAATTTTTAAGTTGATAATTTTGTTTGGCCCGCGAATGATGTTATAAATATCCAAATGTCCCTTGGCAGAAAAAAAATGTTCCCCACCCCTGCCACAGGGAAACAAGCTACTGGTGCGCAGGACCATCGTGAACCATCGTGACCCATCGTGACCCATCCACCAGCCTCTTAAATGTTACCGTGAAGGTGGCTCAACTTACGTGCGCGCGTGCTAGCGTGTGACGATCGCTTATAGAGCAAATGCATCACAATCAAAATGCATTGCGACACTGATGTAAAGTCCCCAGTGGGGTTTTGCATACGCATAGTCACGGGCATGACTACCAGTGGAGGTATGTACGCAGATCTTCTTTCGCACCGTACGTAGCCAACCGTGTTACTCGGAGGTGTGGAAGGGATGATTTCCACATCGGCCGTTGGCGAAAGAAAATATAAATTCAATAATTCAATAATAATAATTTACAGGCCATGGTGTCAAGTCACTGGTTGATGGTGAGCAATACATGCCTTATTCTTGGTTCTTTCGGTACAGTCACGTAGAAGGGAAACAATTAAATAATACAAATATAAAACAATAACATTTTCACGACGTTTCGACTGCAACACAAGCAATAACACACCTGATGATGATTGCTTGTGTTGCAGTCGAAACGTCGTGAAAATTGTATTGTTTTATATTTTTATTATTTCATTGTTTCCCTTCTACGTGACTTTACCGAAAGAACCAAGAATATGAATCCCTACAGTCACGAAAGCTTTAAATCAAGATACATGTCTCGTTGATTCCGATAGGTTGTTTGACCATACTTCACCACGCTGGTCAATGGCGGATTGGTGAACGAGGAAGAAACCCAGAGGCCAGATTTAGATTTCGCTCGCTATATATGTTAGCCTTGGCCGGGAATCGAACTCAGCTCACTAGGTTCGGTGCGCGGTGCAATAAATAGTGCACCACCGTTACCCACCAAAAAAAAGTCAGTCAGCATAGCGATATCTCATACGATGGTGATCTCTGAATAGGAATCACATTTATCATTCCAGGCAAGCCTCGCTGAGCCTCATAATTATTTGGAATGAGGGTCCTGCGTTAGAATGTTTGATAAAATTCCGTTTTAAAATAGGGGGCGTTTTACTTCACGTGGGAGAACTGTTGAGAAGCGGTAAAAAACAATTCCGTGAACCCGTATGTGTGAACTCACAGGAGCCCCATGACTGGCTTTCACGAGCCCACTCGCTGCATGACCACACAGACGGGTTCACGGCCACCTTGCAGCCCAACGCGTTTTTTTTTATGAGTTTCTCTATGCGATCCATCAACCCTTGCGTTCAAAGCGTCGGATAGCAAGCGCGGATTAGGTGCGCTCCGGCGGCCGTCTGGAACGCTCTTCATTCAGATATTAGGAAGCCACTGGAGCTACGCAAATTTTAATCTGGATTGAAAACTCTTTTCTTTAGAACTGCTTTTATGGTGTTTAGTTTGTTGTGCTTCTCCCCCCCCCCCCCGCACCTCCGATTAGCACGGGTGGCTACGTACGGTGCGACAAAAGTTCAACATACATGCGTACAAAGAACCCCTATATCTTGAAGAGACTGTTAGGGCAAGTGCTGTTAGCCAGCACCTACCAACGTCACACGAGGGCGTGGGTGGCAAGCACCACGCCGCTGCTGCCGCTGCCACAAACAGCACGCCCAGGAGGTAAATGCATCACGGATGCAGCCTGCGCTACGGGATGTGAATCTAATTAATGAACGCACGGGGCGCGGGTATTTAATTGCTGCTCAACGTCCTTCTTGGGAGGGCGTGGTAAGCACGGCCAGCATTTCGAATATTGATGATGATAGAACAGGAATGGCCACCTATGATTACTGATGTCTCAGCAATGTCCAGGTAAAACATAATGAAGCTACTTCACTCTCATGCGATTCATTGGACACACGTGTTGAGCGTCCGAGACAATGCGTCCGTCCGTCCGAAGTCACAGAATTGCTCTCATTATCCCGCGATCCAAGCGGGGCTGGTCATTTGCACCTGGGGTGGCGACTGCAACCAGAATTAAATATGGGCAGTGTCCGCCGTGGGCAGAAAGCTTCGTTTAAATATCTTCTGTTTGAATTTGTCTAAATACCGTCTGTTTTGTCGCGACACATTGCCTACGTATGCTACGTCTCGACACTTACATTCATTAGATGTTTCGCATCACATTATAGGTATTGTAAAGTGCTTATATCCTTTAAAAAAACGATATTCTCTATCAAACTTGCTGTAATACCACGCTCACCTTGCTAGGAACTATATTTGGGATCCAGGAGAAGGAATCCTTCTATAAAATCTTTATTATTTCTGCCGCGCCAGTTGATACCGACGGCTCAAGGGCCTCAATGCATTTATTTGGATGTTTATAGCAACAACAACAACAACAAAACACCCATGCACGCCTCTCCTGCAACATCATATTCCGCACCGGCTCTCCGGATCACTGTCACAGCCCAAGAGCAGCTTTAGCAGCGCAGTGCGGCCAGGCAAGTTAAGAGCCTCGGGATAGGAGATGTAATGATAGCAATGGAATTTAGTCGAGTTCACACACACACACACACGTACACACGTGCCTACGTTTGTCGGGTTGGAGGTGGAGCAGTGGATTGCGCGCGACGCCGTGAACCCGGCCCCGCGAGTTCGATCCTCCCCTACGACCACCAACAGTGACGATTATTTTAATTGTTCACGGGCCTCCCCTAGTTCGACTGAGCATCAAGGTGAGTACCCCTGGTGCGATGTGAAATCATCGCAACTAAGTACTAAGGCTATAAAGTCGGCTGGCGTGGTGTTGGCCACCCACCCAATCGTACGCCGTGCGGGGCTCCATGGATGCTCGCTAATGTCACTTGCCCCAACAGTCTGCTAAGGTTATACGGGGGATCTTTGTTTTTTTGTGTCTTTTGTGCAAACTCAACACATCAGGATTAGTGTTCAAATACTTTTTTTTAAATCTCCGTGGCAATGTTCTGGTGATTGCCCTAATTGGAGCACTGGCGGATTTCAGGGCTCGATTTCCCGGTGACTGTTGTCGCTTTATCTCGTAGCAACTCGGAGCACCGCGGACTGCACGTTGACAGCGGTGAGCGGGGAATGTGTGTGTGTGTCTGTGAGTGTGTGCCGTGCCGTGGGGAGCGGTAGTGTAGCGGTTAGCGCGCTGCGCTACGAACCTGGCGACCCGGGTTCGATTCCCGCTCACGGCCATCACTGGTGACGATTATTTGAACCGATCCTGAGCCTCCCCTTGGTCGACTCAGCCTCAAATGATTACCTGGTGCAAAGTGTAAACATCGCCACTAGGGAGACAAAGGCGGCCGGGCGTGGTGTTGGTCACCCACCCCCTCGTGTGCCGTGCCGGCCTTTATAGGAGCTCGCTAACATAACTTGCCTCAATAGGCTGTTAAGGCTACACGGGGTTTTTTGTCGTTGTGGTGTGTGGTCGACTCGGCCTCAAATAATTACCTGGTGCGGTGTGTGGTAAACATCATCACTAGGGAGACAAAGGCGGTCAGATAGGGAGCTGGCCATCCACCTCCTCGTATGCCGTGCCGGCCTTCATAGGTGCTCGCTAACTACACTTGCTCCAACAGTCTGCTCAGGCTATATATTAGGGCTTCGTCTTTGTTGTTTGGGTGTGCGTTGTTTGCTGGGTGAGTGTGTGTGCCGTGCTACTGGGCAGTTGGAGGCAGTCGCCCTACAGCAACAACAAAGGAGCGACGCTCACAACAACGGGCGGAGCGGCGGGCGGTTAAAAACGGCAAGTTGGCACAGTCGGGGGCACAGCTGGTGCATTTGCCAGTCCTCTGGCCCCCAACATTATTTCACATCTTTTGTCGACCACAGCCTTCGAGCAGCCCTCCATGGCTGTTCCAGATGAATTCACATCCAGGACAGGAGATACAATGGGAGGCTGATCGATTCCCGGTGCAGTCAAGGGAGATGGCTCCTTATTGGTCAACCGTGATGATCTGGTGGTTTCACTCTGGAGTGAGCAGCCCCACCAAAACTAAGCTATGGGTGTGTTATGTCAAATGCTCGATCCCCTTGACTTCCCATGAGAGAGTGGGGAAGTGTCCGTACCAGAGAAGCGTGCTGTGTTGACGAGCTCACGTTTGGCAGCAGAGGTCCGACTCCGTATGAGTCAAGCGTCATTATCTTTTCATCGGCTACGTAATACTGTGTGGAAGCTACCTGGTTTGTCGCTTTAGGCCTTCTCGATCAGAATTATGCAATCTCTTCTCTAAGCCTGTGCAACGTGGACCCCTGAAATGGAACATCAGCGGCATTTTGAAACATTCAGGCTGGCCTGCCTAAGCTCCATCCTCGTTAAACCAGGGATGGATTATGTGAGGAATACACCAAGCCTTGAAAGATCTGGACACATTCCCATCAGTGAGCTCCTCCGGCGGTCAAGGCTGTATTGGCTGGGTCACGAAGCCCGCATGCCCAGCCACCGCATGCCCCAACAATCCTAAACGGGCGAGCCACGGGCTAGGGAAGAGATGGGTTGATGTAGTTACAGGAGGATATGGAGGTGAGTGGTGCATCTGCCAGTCATGCGTCAGCGAGCCTTCGACCGTTCTCGTGGCCTCAAGGTGGACCTAGCCTGGCACAAGGGCCGTGGCGACATCACAGCCGCTTCGTGGCGAATGGTGGCTGTCGTTTCGATGTGTGCGCCGTGTGTACGCATCAGCGTGTGCGTATCAGTGTTCTTCACTTTACGTTTTCTCTAAACACACGCACAAGCGGTGTTCACGCGGCTATCATCCTCGGCACCACCACCCTCGCCATCAACACCATCATCATCATCACTGCCGCCATCACCACCCATTCATCATCACCCCACCTCCTTGAGTGACTACCACGTCCGCCCACCGTCTCGTACCCACATTCCTTCCCTTCCCTGCACCCTCCCTCGCACGTAGTCACCTGCCCGCGTCTCTCCCCTTCTCTCCCTCCTCTCTCTCTCTCTCTTTCCATCTCTCGCTCTCTCGAGATATACTGCGGCAATGGATCGCCCGCGGCAAAGCGACGTGGAACAACACGCAGAGCAAACAAGAGGCGACACAGAGAGAGAGAGAGACACGGAGCGAGAGAGAGCAACAGTAAAACCGCAATAGTGAGCAGTGGTGGAGGACAGGTAAGATAGACAGACATAGACTTGGATGGAAACAGATTTGATGCATTGACAAAAAGGAGCAGAAAGACGTGGAGGGACAGACAGAGATACTAACAGTGATACGGATAAGCCGAGAGAGGACGAGAGAGCCAGATATAGAGATACACACGTACAGAGAGATATATTAGATCGAGACAGAGACACGATTCAATCAGAGAGACAGACAGTAAGGGGGGAGGGGGAGATAGAGATGCAGTATATATACAGAGAGACACAGACTTGACTTTTAAACAACTTTTATTGCCCCCAGCAGCAACAACACTGGAGGCGATTTCGATATGAAATACACAAAGTCACCAGCAAACAAATGAAAATAAACGCTGTAAATCGACGCGCTGTGGCGCTAAAAGCACCGCGCACAACACGAAAGAAAAGTCACGTGGTGGTGGTGCTGGTCATCGCGCACGCCACGGTGACGAGCGAGACACAGAGAGACACAGATACACAGATATACATAACGAGACAAGTACACAGAGATGCAGAGAGAAAACAAGTTTCCCGAGCGCCACCGGTGCAAGCGGGGATGGCTGGGGGGTCTTCTAGAGGTGTGGGAGGAGGAGTAGAGGTGTGGTAGGAGATGCAGGTGTGTGGGAGGAGATGCAGAGGGGTGGGATGAGATGCAGAGGTGTACAGGAAGGAGGATGTGGAGACCGCGTACTCGGCGAGAGATGCTGCTGTCGATGTCGAGGAGATAGTGATCCCCATGCTGGCTTTGTGCACTCTAAATCAGCTCGCCACCTGCACCGCGAGTGACCTTCCAAGTCTCTCTGTGTACTCTCTGCCTATCTGCCTCTCAAATCTGCCCCACATTGTGTCGCTATATTCTGCCTACCCATTGCACTGCTCTTTATCTCCATACTTTATCGATTGTTTTGTCAAGTCCCTAACTATCTAACCTATCCGCCCAACTGCCTCCGAATCTTCATACCTACCTTCTTACCTACATCTCTAACTACCTATATTCCTTGCTATGTAGATGTCTAACTTACCTGGTTATCCGCCTACCTTTTTAACTACCTACCCGTTTCATACCTTGAACAGCTGCTTACAGGCGTATCAAGCTCGCTACCTGCCCGGCTGGTTACCTACGTGACTTTACCGAAAAAACCTAAGAATATGAATCATTGCAGTCACGAAAGCTTCAAATCTAGAATGCATACCTATTTGTCTACCTATCAGCTCAACATGCTGCCCTATCTTCATGTACCCTATATAATCGACATACATACCTCCGATATAATTCCTCCGTATATGTGTATCTACTTACCTACCATGTGGAACAAAACGACATGCATACACATTCGAACATTCGTATTTTTTGTTGTTTAATCACAGTCATTATAAAATACACTAACTTGTCATCCCCGAATCACACATTTGCATCGGGGCTTACAAATATCCCACTCGGATGAACTCTTCACCTGAACAGCAACAACAAAAAACCCCGACCACACATTGTAATAAGTAATACTATTAAACAGAGCGAACACACTCACGTGGGAAATACCAGCAGATTAGAGGCAGCGTTTGATGTGGGAGAATGGTAGACACGTTGAGAAACGTGAGACAGATTCCTAAACACGAGGGTTAATGTTTCATTTTTATTTGATTTCTCTGCGGCAGCCGGGGTTGGTCCCCTCCCAAAACAAAAAAAAACCGAAGGATGTTTGCTCCGCTGCACTACTGACCCCTGTGATCCGGAAGTGCAGAGTGGCTACGGAGTAGGCGGTGTCTGGCGTTCATTCATACATTCAGCCGGTCAACCATTCATTAATTCAGTCGTTCGATCAGTTGATTGTTAATCCGTTCACATATTTCTTAAAGCGTTCATTTTGACGTTGAATCAGTCGTTCACTCGGTCAGTCAATCGTTCATTTATTCGGGCATGCAGCCATCCATTCACTAATTCGGTGAGCCAGTCATTTGTTTTGTCCTGCAGCCACAGTCACTCGTTCACATTATTATTAAATTGGTCAATCATCTTGAAAACTGCGCTGGTTTCAGACCAGTTCGTAGTTGGACTTTGAGTCCACCGGGTCTTGCCAGGCGTTGTAGGCGTCGGGGCTGCTCGGTGTGGTCAGAGGACATCAGCATTGAGCGTCTGCGACACGTGGAGCAAACCCCGAAAGCACAGACGGATGGCGAAGCAACTCGCCGTGCTCCTCTCCAGTTTGTTCCGTTTGCTTCATCAATTGGCCGCGCTTATGATCCATGCCACTGCATTTGGGACGTATCGACACACACACACAGTATGTGTTCTCGCGGCACGTTGGTATGTTGTTTTTCATTTTAAAATTCTGCTTTTCGACAGCACTCCATGGATGCACACTTCTACATCACCGTACCCAGTGTGACAGAGCTACAAAGTGTGTAGACGGTGCAACTGCACCACAGCCCATGGGGGGGGGGGGCACACATCCCACGGGGATAATACATCTCAAACATCGCACCGAACAGGACCCATCGGATGGGGGGGGGGCGCTTTCACTAACCGCTGGTGTTTGGCCAAATCTCGAGTCTGGCCGAATTCCCGTGCAGCCG